CTGCTACTGCTGCTTCTGCTACTGCTGTTGCTGCTGCTACTGCTGCTGCTACTACTGCTGTTGCTGCTGCTACTGCTGCTGCTACTACTGCTGCTGCTGCTACTGCTACTGCTGCTTCTGCTACTGCTGTTGCTGGTGCTACTGCTGCTGCTACTACTGCTGCTGCTACTACTGCTGCTGCTGCTACTGCTACTGCTGCTTCTGCTACTGCTGTTGCTGCTGCTACTGCTGCTGCTACTACTACTGCTGCTGCTGCTACTGCTACTGCTGCTTCTGCTACTGCTGTTGCTGCTGCTACTGCTGCTGCTACTACTACTGCTGCTGCTGCTACTGCTACTGCTGCTTCTGCTACTGCTGTTGCTGCTGCTACTGCTGCTGCTACTACTACTGCTGCTGCTGCTGCTGCTACTGCTGCTTCTGCTACTGCTGTTGCTGCTGCTACTGCTGCTGCTACTACTACTGCTACTGCCACTATTACTACTGCTGCTGCTATTGCTACAAAGAGATCGTCACAATTCGAAAAAAGCAAAGAGGCATCTGATAGATTGGTATGGCTTCGCTAACGCGACGCATAATTTTTACAGCCACCACTAGCTGTATGCGTGCGCGCGTGCGTGCGTGCGTGCGTGCGTGCGTGCGTGCGTGCGTGCAATGTACACGAATTGCGTCGAGGGATTGTGCGTGGTCGGAAAAGTCAGGAGGATTACGTAAATTGCACCTCAATCTCGCCCAAATTATATCCTACAGTCGTCGATAAGTGCCTATACGCACAATGGGTTCTCAATGTGGGCAGAACCCTACCCCCACCCAGACACCTGGGGCCTGCAGAATTACATAAAGGATGTAACTATTACTCCTACCCCCTAAGAATTACCTATTAGGCAAAGTGGCTAGACGTGCACAGGGTATTAGGGTAGGTTGGGCATTTGGGATGCGTTTATAGAGCCAAGGGGGGGGCGAAGGCCTAAAAAAATATTGGGAGCATACTCTAGTGGATGTCCCAGTTCTGCTGACTGGCACACGACAATCCGATGTCGACGCGCAGTCAATTGCGTCCCTGTCTCGTGCGATTTACACCCGTGTACTAGTAGCATGGACAGTAGCTTAAAACATGGGTGAAAAACGATCACGTTGGCATTTAAAATGAAAGGC